TATGACCGCATCTGTGGTCTGGTAGTCAGAGCTCCTGGCTACATATCCATAGGTCTGGGGTTCGATTCCCTGCGCCACCAGATTTTCTGAGAAGTAGTGGGTCTGGAACGGGGTCCATTCAGCCTTGTGAGGATAATTGAGCTATTTCAAGGAAAGAGCAGCTCCGGTCTAGAAAACCGAGATTAACAGCCATGGGGATCCGTTGCGCTGACCACGTGACACCCTCTATCCGCAAAAAGTTGGCACTAACTTCGCCAACAAGCAGTGGTCGCTTGGTCAGTATAGTTTGCTTGCGGACTACAGGCAACAGTTTTTTTTTTTGTTTTGTTAGTTCTGTGTTCTGATTTTGTGTAACAGAGAGAAAGGTCAATATCCCAAAAGTGTCGCTGCTTCAGAGAATCCCGTTTCCAGAGTTAAGCAAATGTACCCAATTTGTTTGCTGTAAAATAGACTTCTTGCTTCCTTACTTAACTTTTAGTTCAGCCAAGTGGAAGATTATGAATCTGAAGTGAAACACAACAGATGCAAATCAGACATATCACTTGAGCTTTTCTGTTGAGTGATTAACCTTTATTGTCTGGAAACTGGGGATTTAAAATTGCCTAGTACTACAAGGCTACAAGCCGGAAGGTCGCAGGTTCAAATCCCGATGAGGTCATTGGATTTTTTTCAGTTGACGTAATCTTTCCAGCTGCACTATGACCCTGGGGTCAACTCAGCCTCTAACAGAAATGAGTACCAGGAATTAATTAAATAATTTTCCTGGGGAGTAAAGCGCGGCCGGCGCGCAAGGCTGACAACCTTACCGCCATCTTTGAGCTGATTGTCTAGATAATGTGGCACCCTCAACGTCTCACAACCCTATGGGCCTTCACAGCCTGTTACAGGGATAGCTTTACTTACTTTTATTTAGTACTACAAGGTCACAACCTGACTTTAACTGGGATATCATGGAATAAATATTTAGAAAATGCAGTGCCTAGCCAGCTGGACCTCACTCATGCACAATTACAACAGTGCAACACACATGATTCTGCTTACAGTTGTATTTCTGCCCAAAGTATGTGATGTGATATCAGTTTAATGATCATTGGACCTAAAGACTTATATATATTAAATATGTATCCTGTATATGTACATTATATTCCTTCTCATAGGTGTCTCCACCAGATCAGCATGGATTCTGCAGCCTTGGAACAAGTGTTGACTGTGTCCGGGCAGCGCTCATGTATTCAAAGACAATTGTTGGTAAGAGTGAACATTTTTTTATATTACAGACTTTCAGTTAAATGTCAGTGGTGAAGTAGTGGTTTAGACTTAAGTGTACTGGGATACAACCACAGAAGTTATATAATAAATAGTAACCAGAGTTATTGATAGTTACTGGGCCTCAGGTAGTTGGCATTTACTAGCATAGAAATGGTATATTGTGGGCAGATCTCAACTGTAATTATGTAATAAGTACAGAAGTTCTGTATAGTGGCCAGGTATCAATTCAGAATTGTGAGGCCAGGTCTCAAACAATGAGGAAACAGCCCAGAAGTTATATATAAGGTAAATGACTCCCTGAATTCAAATTGCAGCCTGGTGTTAACATAACTATTGTAACTAAAAGTGACAGAAACTGCTTTTATATCTGTTTGTGAAGTAGGGGTGTGGATATTATGACACAGATAGTTGTTAGTCATACCCAGACCTTGAGGCTCAAGGACTTCACATCTCTCTTCTTCCAGGTCAGATTTTATGTAAATATTATTAATTTTGTAGCTTATTATTTTATTTCTATTTCATATAATTTTTTAATATCAGTTTCAGCATGTTTTTATCTTGTTTCAGTTGGGTGCATGATGTAGTAATAATGTTAGTGAAATAGTAGCTTAGCATTATCAGATAGTTGTGACTTTTATAAAATAAAATAATTAAAAATGATTCTGCCTCCCCCGAATTTAAATTATTGATAATGGGCTTCTGGTATGTGTAGGGTTTGTGTTGTATGGGATGAGGGTGTGTGATATGATTATGCATGAGGGGCAAAGCTCTTATGTGTGCTTGAACCCCCAGAAACATGCACCAGTGCTGCTGTATGCTGTATGTTTGAAGGAGACCAGGAACTGGCCTTGTAATTGTTTGGGACCAAAAAGGCTATTTGTCCTACACATTAGTAACTGGCAAACATTTGTGTTTGTTGCCATTGCATGGAGGTTTATATTCACATTTGCTTAATTTGCGATAATACTCATGATTTTGTCACCGGAGACTTGCAAGATGAGCTTCGCTGAGCAGGATGACATAGCAGTGATGCTTTAGACTCTTGTTTTGGAGGTGCATGCTTCAAATCTTGGCCAGGACATTGGCTCTCCTGACTGAGGTTCCCCCAGTCTGTTCAGGCAGATGCTGGGATAGTACTTCGATTAGGCCATTACTGCACTCTTCCAAATTCTTTTCAACTTGTTATTCATCTGTCATCATCATCTGATGCTATATAGCCTTTATGCTAAGAATACATTGTTAAATAACATGAAAAAAATTCCTGGAAGCAGTTTATATGAGGCTGGTCACAGTGACTGCATGGCCTAAGGCATGAACTATCTTCACTCTCTTGTACATTGGGATTGTGGTTTTGAATCCCATTCAAGGCATGGATGTCTGTGTGTAGGTTGCAGCCTTGTGACAGGCTGATCCCCCATCCAAGGAGTCCCACTGACTGTGTGTAGATTAAGAAACCGAAAAAGCTGCCCACAAAGGCTGTAAAGCCATGGATACATAAGTAGATAGATACATAGATAGATAGATAGATAGATAGAAAGAACTATATGGGACATAAATAGGCCACGACCATTTTCTTTAACAGTTGTTCCAATTACTTGTTCACAAATTATACTACAGTTTGATGCTATATACTCTGAACTGCTGGCCTGAGGATGGAAAGAAATCCAGTTTAAGAAAATGTTGTGTTCCTTCTGAATACTAGATGATGGACAAAGTCCAGGAACGCAGTAATCCCAAGTGTAATTGACTGTCATCAGAACAGGTTAGAATTAACTTACCGACAGGTGTTTTTTTGTAGGCCATAAATAAATAAATAAATAAATACTGCATGAATCAAGACGAGTACTGACTGACCTCTGCCATATTCTGACACTGTAAACTGCAAAGATAAAGCGGTATATTTGAGATATAAACCTTTTGATTTAAATTGTTAAAATGCAATATGATTTGTTTCTGATGGTGACTTTGATTTGTGAACATGAAGTTTTGTAAAGCTTGTCATGTTTATCTGGTTCTTTGCTGATTTATTCAAGGGGGAAGGAGACTGAAGATACAAATAATGGAATATAATGGAAAGACCACTGTTAATGCCAGAAAAAGAATTTAGACTTACCACATCCAATACAAATGCCAACGACTTATTTTTTTTTTCATGTTACTGTAATATTTTACGTTTACTCATTTTGAAATTAAGACCTTTAATACATTGAATATATTGTAGGTTATAAGATGGAAATTGCTGGCCATGACTTCGAGGGTGGGTTATTTTTATGGTAGGTTGAAGGACATGTATGGTCACAGTTACATTCTCAGTAGCTGTGCAGTGACCCAGTCTCCTTGTCAGAGAGTGTATATGGTTCTTTTCCCAGGGACAAGCAGCCAAAGCATAAAGGTCACTTCTCACCTTATTCTTGTGGAGAGGCCAAGAATGCATGGAGTTTTGCTGAACACCCGCTGTAAACAGGGACAGATTCAGCTTTATCGTTATTACATATTGTTTTACTGTAATTTTCTGCAGCTCAAGTGAATCCACAGATGCCAAGGACATTTGGAGATGGAACAGTTCACCAGTCACATTTTGATTATGCTGTGAAAATAGACAGGCCGCTGCCAGAACATGGTGGTCGCCCGCCAACTGAAATTGAGACTAAAATTGGAAAGCAGATTGCAGAAAATCTTGTGGAAGATGGGGCAACACTACAAATGGGTAATCATTGCCATCTTTTTTATTAAAATATCAGCATTATTTCTGTGTCTGCCTTTTGGCAAATTAATTCTTATGTGATTAAACTAGTGTAATGTTTCAAAGGAAAAAGAAACTCCATGGTTTTAGTCTGCAAGCAAACTATACCGACCGAGCAACCGTTGCTTGTTGGCGAAGTTACAGTGGTCTAGTGGTCAGAGTTCCTGGCTACAGATCCATAGGTCCAGGTTCGATTCTTGGCTACCAGATTTTCTGAGAAGCAGTGGGTCTGGAACGGGGTTCACACAGCCTTGTGAGGATAATTGAGAAGCTATTTCAAGGAAATAGCAGCTTCGGTCTAGAAGACCGAAATTAACGGCTGTGGGGACGTGTTGTGCTGACCACATGGCATCCTCTTATCATCTAAAGTTGTTTCTAAGGCAGGAACAGGTAAAATGCAGTCCGTTGGTCAGGAGAGAGACATGGAAGAATTAAGTCTCTCCCACAGTAATGTTCAAGTATTGTTAATGTCTATTCTCATATATGCAGTACATACAGCCTATATACTGAACTACAACACTGGCCATTCTGTTTGTTAGCACCCAGAGTTGTTGATAGTGCTTACTCATAAGAACAGATGGCAGCAGTAAACTGCAGTGAGAAGTGTTCTTGAATTGATATTGCAGTGTTCACATTTTCTAAATAAAATTCATACTATGCCTCTTAGAGAGCAGCACATACTGTTATTCTGTTGAGTTTAATATCTTGGTGTGAATGTGACTGTCTTTTCAGAGTTTAAAATTCATGATGTACATCTTCAATGAAAACATGATACATCATGTTCCTTAAGGACCAGGATAGCTCAGTTAGTACAGTGACAGGTTGGACAGCCGGGGTTCAATTCTAGACAGGGGCAAGAGATTTTTCTCTATTCCATAGTGTCCAGACTGGATCTGGGGCCCACCCAGCCTCCTATACAATGGGTACCATGGTCACTTCCCCTGGAGGTAAAGCGGCCAAGATGGGAAGCTAACCACTTACCTCTATCTAGAATGGTCGATCTCTACCTCCATTACTCTATACCAGGCATATCCAACGCGTCGATTGCGGGATGATTTTTGGTCGATCTCATAGGCCTAGAAGGAAATTATACATGAAAAGCATGGAAATTCACTTGTAATATAATATTGTAACGTGTCTGGAATCCAGAAGAGTCACTTCTATGGAAACGCTAGAACAGACCGTTGCATAGGAAACAACAATCGCTCTGTTGTAGTTCTGACAGGAGTCTCCATGGTTATAACAAAGGGTTCGTTGCATAGCAGCGACCGAGGTTATATAGCGGAGTTGAATGCATTCGCACAGTCAGTCTTGGAATATCCATCGAAGAAGTCAGTCTTTACCGAGCCACCTAAGAAGTGAGTCTTGATCCAGCCTTCTAAGAAGAGAGTCTTAGAACAACCGCCAGAGAACAGAGTCCAGTATCGCCGAGAAATTGTGTAGGCTAACAATTGTAAAGCGTGTGATTGTGTAAGCGTGAAGAACAATAAATGTTCTACAGAATCTGAGCCCCACGGGAATTTATTTGTAGCGTGACACACAAAACACGCTACACTGGTGTCAGAAGTGGGATAGGACTTACACATGTGACAAACAAGATTCGAACTCAAGACACGCTACAATATTATATTCAGATTTTGAAAGGAAAATACATATTAAAGTATTTTGTAATTTCAATGTATGTTGCTTTTACAACAATCATATGTTGTGTTATTTTTACCAATATTTTTGCTTAAAGCGAGGTACGACGATAGGAGGGGGTGGTAGAGCACTGGCAATTTTGACACTAAAAAGTCGATCACAACCTGTTTGAAATTGGACATGCCTGCTCTATACATTTTCATGGCATAATACTTAAATAATTAAGCACAAGGACAGCTTTGCTTTTGCCTGTACCTTAAGAGCTCTAATATGTAAGAATAGATCACAGTATATATGTATACTACCACAGTCAATAAGTTCATGGAATGGCCGCAAAGCGTCGTACAGGAAATTACTGCCAATATGTTTCAGCAATGTTTTCGACAGCTATATCAACGTTGGCAGACTTGCATAGTAGCCAACGGCAACTATTTTGAGGGCCGATGTGGGTCTGCGTAAGTGTATGTGAATACCTTGTAATATGATGCGATAAAACCACATTCCACGAACTTAATGACTATACTACGTGTGTGTGTGTGTGTGTATATGATTTGGATTATCATCACAGTTCTCCACTTAAGCGTCAGAGGGCTTTGTGCCAATGGTGGATTTGAATTGCTTAAAAAGTTAAAATCAAGATTTTAACGCCCGTACAGGCTTTTGAGTCCCCAGTACATGTATCTGCTTTCCAGTTACTGTACTTCAGTTGGATATGAAAGACCTGATGGGACCCACTTCAGATTCTGTTTGCGGACATCTAAGATAATCATGCTCACTGTAGTGACAGGAAAGAGAAATGAAAATGTAAAGTAGTCATCTGTCGAGCAGTTTATATTCAGAGACAGAAAATGGTAGGACTGTTACTTGGGAAGGGATAGCTCAGTCAGTATAGTGACTAGGCTATGAAATGGTCGACTGAGGAATTAGGGTTCAATTCTTGGCTGTTCTCGACAGTGTCCAGATGGGTTGTGGGGTTCACCCAGCTTCCTCTTCAGTAGATAATAGAGGAAAGTGGTCGAGGCGTGAAGCTGACTAAAATTAAGAATGAATGGAGCTATACATCCATTTCCCCATATATCTTCATGGCATGGTGTTTAATTGAGCACAGGGACAGTATTCCTTTTGTATTTTATAATATAAAACGTTCTGTGACCTTAAACACATCAGTTATGCCAACAAATTAATCGGTAAAGTACTTGATACAAAATTCCTTGGAATACATGTAGACAGTACACTGTCTTGGAAAATACATATTGAACAAATTATACCTAAATTAAATGCAGCTTGCTATGCGATGAGATCAATTAAGCCTCATATGTCACAGGAAACATTGAAGATGGTTTACCATGCCTACTTTCATTCTATTATGAACTATGGATTAATATTTTGGGGGAACTCTTCACATAGTGTAATAATTTTTAAAATACAAAAGAATATAATTAGAATCATTACAGGATGTAGAAGTAGAGATTCATGTAGAGAATTATTTAAGAAATTAAAAATTCTACCTCTTCAATCGCAATACATATTATCGCTTCTCTTATTTGTTGTTTACAACAAAGATAAATTCAAATTAAATTCTGATGTCTATAACATGAATACTAGACAAAAATATAACTTCCACCTACCCTCATCAACTTTATCAGTATATCAAAAAGGAGTCTACTTTACTGGCATAAAAGTGTTCAACAATCTGCCACAAAGTATTAAAAACTTGGGCAATGATACTAAAAAGTTTAAATCAGAGTTAAAGAATTATCTACATGCTCATTCCTTCTACTCTTTAGATGAATACTTCAATGTAAATAGAGAATGATGTAAAATTAAGTTATATTAATTTTTAAGCTAAAATTGCCTGTACTTTTGTATGTAACCTTTTGACTTGTTCTGTATCCAAAGGTACTAACCTGCTTAGGATTTATAGAATGTAAATAAATTCAATTCAATTCACAATTCAGTTTTGTGATGCCGTCTTGCCATACAGATGTTTACTTTTGTTCTGTTAAGTAGCTTCTTTTGTCCCCACAGGTATTGGAAACATTCCTGATGCTGTGTTGGCAGAACTGACAAATCACAAAGATCTTGGTATCCATTCAGAGATGTTTGCTGGAGGTATCGTTGATCTAGTAAATAAAGGATGCATCACAAATAATCGAAAGACAATCAATAAAGGCAAAATCATAGGCAGTTTCCTTATTGGAACTCGGGACTTGTATGATTTTGTTGATAATAATCCATATGTAGGTAAGTATTTAAGTTTTTATTAACTTTATGGCAAACATATTAACATAATCAGGAGCCGGGATAGCTCAGTTGGTATAGTGACTGGCTACAGGCTGGACGGATGAGCGGTCGTAGTTCGAGTCCTGGTAGGATCAGGAATTTTCTCATCCCCATGTTAACCAGACTGGCTCTGGGGTCCACCCAGCCTCCTATCCACTGGGTACTGGGGGCCCTTTCCCGGGGGTAAAGCAGCCGGGGCGTGAAGCTGACCACTCATCTCCATCTAATGCCACGGTCAAGAAAATGTGGATCTTTACATTCACTTCCACATATGCCTTCATGGCGTAGTACTTAGTTAGATAAGCACAAGGACAACTTTACTTTTTAACTTTTTATCTTGTTACAATCACTATTCAGGCATGGACATTGCTAGAACATGACCAAGAAGTGGTGACAAATGCCTGCAGCAGAGTCTGGCTTACAGGGGCGGAGAGAAGAGTGGAGGAAGGTTCCATAGATTCAAGTAGAGAGGTTGCAGTATCGTTGCCTGTGTTATTTTACTATTTTTTCTGAAAGTGTTGTTAAACAAGGTCATGAGGAATACCATGTAGTGATATATTCTGGAAAAGAGTGAAGTAATTTGCAGCTTAATTATCTAACAAAATATCAGACAAAAATAATGTGAACAGTAAACTGCATCTGAAAGGATTACATTGAGGATGAATGTTTTTGGATTGTTGTGCTGTTACTGACAAGGCCAAAGGCTGGATCACAGCTGACCCAACACCAGTATGGTGGCACTCTTCGGATGAGTTCTCTTTTTCAGGTACTGAAATGTGTTTCTGTGAATTAGCCACTCCTTACTGGTCAAACTATGCTCTTTGATTTATAACATTTATAGACATGTGCTGGGCTGTAGGAGATGTTTCCTCATGTCAGACAGCTGTATCTGTAGTTTCACCAACATATTTTTTAGTGTTTCTGCACTCAGACGTTCTCTTGTCCTGCTGTTGTATTTATTCCTTCCTATTATTTCTTAATTACTGATGGCAAATTAATGAATTTTTTTTGTTACAGAGATGCGTGATGTTGCATATGTAAATAACACAGGTATTATAGCTCAGAACCCCAAAATGACTGCTATTAACTCTTGTATTGAGGTTGACCTGACAGGTCAAGTTGTGTCAGATTCCATTGGAACCAGAATGTATTCAGGTAAAATTCCCCCCCCCCCTTGAATGAATAAAGTATGTTATATTTTCCTCTAGGATATAAATTCTGTATTGATACATACTAGATAAGCCAGTGTAGTGACAAAACTGTGTGATATATGATCAGAGAATCAGGGTTGAATTACTGGCAAGGACAGAAATGTTTCTCCATCATATTTTAAGTGCGTTGTATGCATTGGATACTGGAGACTTTCCCTGCGATGCCAGGGTGTGAAGCTGACCATTCACATCCATCTAGTAGTTAAAAAAAATTGAAGCTACACCAATATTCTCCAATGCGACTTCATGGCATGGTGATTAATTAATTAAGGGACAACTTTACTGTTTTTTGTCTGCTGGAATCTAAAGAGTGATGTTTTACACAATTTTACAATTTTAATAGATATCATATTTAGCTTGAAATAGTTTATCTTATTACATTTACTGCTAGTCCAGTCAGCTGGTGGGTTGAAGTTCGCCATGAGTTGGCGTGAGTCCTGCCACACAGTTGACTTTTGCTGCTGTTATGTGAATGTTGTTTTCTCGCTCAGATGTAGAAAAACTAAATGTAGCTTGTTGACGCTTGAAAGATGAGCATTTGTAGATTTTTTTTTACTTGTTCTCTTTAATTTCCATTTTGAATATAATGAGTTCAGAATGGGTGGCCCAACAGGTAAAATTGCAGTGTGCGTGGAATGTGGAAGTGGGTATGTTAGTTATCTTGGTTTCAACCTTCATCTCTTGATTCCAAGCTTGTAAGATTATGACAACAGTAACAAGAGTCCCCACAGTCCTCTCAGTTGCCATGATTACAGGAAGTAGGTTCATGCGGGTTGTTGAGTATTTTATGTATATCATAACTGGAAAGTACAGTATTAAATTTGTGTGTTGAAGTTCTTTCTTAAGCCTCTCCCTCAAATGTGTCATGACCAGCACAGTGGGTTGAGGCACTATGCTACAAGCTGGAAGGTCGCGGGGTTTGATTCCCAATGAGGTCATTGGATTTTTCAGTTTACCAAATTCTTCCATCTGCATTATGGCCATGGGTTCGACTCAACCTCTAGCAGATGTGAGTGTCAGGAATACTCCTGGTGGTAGAGGGTGGCCATCACATAAGGCTGACAACCTCACTGTCATCTGTGAGCTGATAGTCTAGAAAATATGGGAACATGGATGTCTCACAACCTGATGGGCCTCCACGGCATGTTACAGGGATGGCTTTTACCTTTTCTTAGGGGCATGCAATAGTGTTGTTGGATGAGGCACTATGCTACAAGTCAGAAAGTCATCGGTTTGAGTCTTGATGAGGTGGATTTTTCAGTTTACCTTATACTTCGAGCGACACTGTGGTTCTGGGGCGACTCAACCTCTAACAGAAATGAGTACCAGGAATCTTTCTGGGGGGTAAAGGGTGACCGATTATAAGGCTGACAACCTTACTGCCATCTTTGAGCCGATTGTCTAAAGAAAATGTGGGAGCCTCGACGTCTCACAACCCTGTGGGCCTTCTTGGCCTGTTACAGGGATAGCTTTACCTTTTTTTTTTTTGCCTTTACTCCATACCCTTATCTGTACACAATTCATGAACATAACTTTTAACAGTTAAAATACTATTAAATGACATAAGAATTAGTGTAGTGTTAATATTTTAGGTGTAAGAGTATCTATCACCTTCTAAGTCTTACCATTCTTCCCCACTGCGTACTTTTGCCACACACTGGGAACCACTTCTCCACCTCTCTTCTTTTCTTCTCATATGTGACTCTACTTTCTTTGGTTGGGTGCCAGTAAGCTCAAATTGTGGTTGCTTGCAATAGTTGAGGTTTAAATCGGGAAAGAGAGGTAAAGTTTATGTGGGACTAGCCAGGGTGATGGTAGGGCTGAGGTTCTTCCTCAGGTCCCTTGGCAGGGTCTCAACTTAGGTGGGGGAAGTGATGAACTTGGTGCTACACACTCAACACCTAAATACTGGTAATATTTATTTCTACGATTTATAGGCTTGGTTTGAATACACATGTAATACACTGTGCTATAAGAACTTCACTTCCCTTAGTAAGGTTACGTGAGCTGTTATGTACGAGGAGCACTCTGTATATAATGCCTCCAATTTTTTTAATGAAAACTACAGCAGATACAGAAAGCATAATAACACAGTTAAATAGAGCAAGATTTCAGCTACTTACAGTTATTTTTCCACATAATCACTACCATTCGTTATGGACTTTCGCCAGCAATGAACGAGCCTGTATGCCGCGCCTGTAAAGGTCTGCACCAGCAGAGGCTAGCCACTTTCTTACAGCTGCAATGTCTTTTGGATTCCGGCTCGTGGTGGTGACACCACATCTCATCTCCGGTGACGATGCTGTCCAGAAACTTGTCAACTTCAGCCTCAAACTGGTGCAACAGGTCCTGACAGACTTCCATTTGATGAGTTTTGTGGTCCTGTATACGCATCCGAGGGACCCACCTGGCACAAACTTTGTGATAATCCGGCTTCCCCAACATCGTTTCCAATGCATTACAGCTGATATTAAGCCGTGCACACAGTTCCCTGGTCGTTATCTGCTGATCTGTACGGATGAGGCACTGTTCATTGTGAGGAGTGGCAGCTGAGCAGGGACGCCCAAGGCATAGCTTGTCTTGCACTTCACTTTCACCACTGTTGAAACGTACTACCCACCGCCTCACTGTGCTGACATTCACTGTATCGTCTCCGTACACCTTTAGCAAGCATCGATGGATGTCAGTGGGTGCAATTTGTTTGGCAATGAGAAATTCAATAACACATCTCTGTTTCATACGCACTTCTATGTCAGACGCCATTTTGGTAAGACTGCTCTGCTGTCGCTATCTGTCGCACAACAACCAAACTAACGGTACATTGGCGGGAAGGTTCAACCATTACTACAACACCACCAACATCCAGCTCAGACGTTACATATTAACACAGTAGAATAGGAGGCATTATATACAGAATGTCCTTCGTATAATAGTTCACCTTGACCACCTGAACTTGGTTAATTAGACTTTCCAAATATGAACTGCAAGGGTGCAAGTTTTGCATCCAAAACTTTTAAGAACTGGCAGACCACTGAACTCTGAGACTGTCTTTTTCAAAACCCTGAGTTCCTCTGTCCATCAGTCCCTCTGCTATGGCACACCCCTAAATTCTACTGATTGGGTGTATTCGAAATTTGGAGTTCACTAAAATTTCTTAATCTCCAGTCAGCTAAATGCAGTATGGGGATTTGGTTCTTAAAGTTCTAACGTTGCTTTTGATAGCTCGGTGATGGATATTGTGCTTAGCGTGGTTCTCCAGCATGCCTCTTTTAAGTTTATGATTTTCAGAAGCTGTCACATATCATATTCACAAAGTTAGGCAGAATTTCTCTTACCAGTGAGATTTCGAGGAAAGAGTATTGGGAGTTGTTCCTGTGAAACAGCAAGGTTGGGAATAAGTCGTTCCCCATGAGCAAGGATGTGACTATGTCCCGCTGTCTTTGCCTGTTACATGTCACTGGTAAAGAAACTCTGCACTAATAATTCTAATTATCCCTAAATCTAGTGCACTGCAGCGCTGCAGTTACATAAGTTATCATATTGTAAGAATGACAGCTTTCTGTATTCAGCTGTCATCTGTTGATACAAATTTGAAGTCTTAATACTTTACAGGAGTAGTTGCTATAATTCTGTGGAAAGTAAGCTTTTGCAATGTGTTTTGGCTTGGATAGGGTTAGAATTTTGATATTATATTGATGATAATTTTAATTTACTAAAATTTTCATTCAGTTGTGTGTTTAATAATTAATTTCATCTCCAGTCATGTTGCACTTTTTGATATTTTAATTGAAATTGTTTTCATTTACTGTATAATTAATAAAATGATGTCCTCAATTTAGGCTTTGGAGGCCAAGTGGATTTTATCCGTGGTGCAGCTGAAGCTTTAGATGGTGAAGGAAAACCAATCATCGCTCTTCCATCTGTAACCAATAAGGGAGAAAGCAAGATTTCTCCCCTCATCAAGCATGGTAAGGTCCTTGAAACTCAGGGGTGAATTTTGTTCATCAATGCACTGACTGAACCAGTGAGGCAGGTTCTGTTAAGCTTGTTCAGTGAATGAATGACTGGATAAAGGGTGGGCCTTAACTGGTCCATGCCCCGTGACCATCGGTGATCTATTGTGCATCCCCCTCTGTTAGCCCCCCAACAGTCCTACATGTTCAATGAAGTGTAGTACCTTACATAAGAGGGCATCTAGGTGGTGCACCCCAGTGACCCAGAGAAATATGCTGGTGGGAGTTACAGCTCTTTATAGAGCCACCCAATGCTGGACAGTTGAAGCAGCAGGGGCCAGGCAAAGTGTAGTTCCTGTTCCTCCAGGTCAGGGGTTGGGTGTTGGGCTAACAAGTCCTCCACAGAAAAATTACTCTTAACAAAACCTCCAGAGTCTGTGCAGGAGGTCAAGATCTACACAGGGTTGTAGCGCCAGTAAAGAAGAATGTTTAGAGGCTGTTTTTCTTTATTGGTATATGTGTATGTAACTGACATATACTTATGCAGTACTGGCTGAATATTCATTGAGAAAGGTTAATAATTCCTATCTCTAGCTGTGGCCTTCACAGATATCCATTTCATTGGTGCACTTTTACTTATTATGGCCCTTGAGGTCTTGAGGGACACTTTGAAAGCAGATTTCACTGAATACGCATGCTGTGAACTTAAACATTTCTGGAAAGGCAACATGATAGAATAAGTGTGATTATATTATAAATGTTTTTTGTTGCAAATGTTGGAAACTGTGAATAACCAGTGCAGTTTACTGAAATGTAAGTGCATTAATGAACCAGCATTTGTAGATATTCAAGTTTAAAACAGAAATAGATGCTATAGCAGAATGCTCTGTTTTGATCTAGGTGCAGGAGTTGTGACCACAAGGGCTCATGTCCATTATGTTGTCACAGAACATGGTGTTGCCTACCTCTTTGGGAAAACGCTTCGCCAGAGAGCTCATGCCCTCATTAACATCGCCCATCCTGATCATCGAGAATCTCTTGAGAAAGCTGCATTTGAACGACTTAAATGTATGCCAGCACCTTGAACATTGTACTGTTTATTTATCCAAAATTCTACTGGCACCATTACAAACCTGATGTTGGTTGTTTTGAAATGTTCTCATTATCTACAAAGCAAACATTCAGTTGTAGGAGAAAGAAATGACAATTTTATTAACTGCTGTCACACAAACTGAGTTTCCATAATAGTATTCATGCTGCCTTACTGTCTCATAACCAGTATGTAATAGACAAGTGATATCTTGTTAGCAGGGAAATTCATATTGTCAAGTTAAGTACACATTTACCTAGACGTCAAGTATAGTAAGAGTACAGACAGCACTAACAACATTTTAGCCGAGTTATAGTGCCACTGCTTTAGGGTTTTTACTTTGCTTTTCTCAAACGTGTTTTAAATTTGGGAGTAGTGAAACCATTTTGTGGTGGGCTGGTTTTGCTGTTGTGTCAGAAGAATTAGTAAACTGGATTACAGAGTCAGGTGACTTTGATTGGGATGTGTATAGGAATGATTCCCAGCTCAAGATTCTCCTCAGAGGCTGCATAAAGAAGAAAACAATTCAAATATCTAAATAAAATTGTTTCTGTAGGAAGGCATGGTTAAACAAAACAATTTTTTTCCCATAACACCTAATGTCATGATACAGTGATTGACACACATTCATTGTTTTCAGTCCACAGTTTGAATATTAGCTGTGAGGCTGGACTTCCAGAGTTCTTATCTCAGTGCCCACAGGCAAATGGTGGGATAATGTCATCCTGTAGGCCACAACCACATCCTTACCTACTCTTCATAATCATCCTTTAAGTTCTCATTGCAGCTGTACAACATTATCAGATGACACAACGTTGTTAAATAAGTAACAAATGTGTAAGTTTTGAGGTTTTCACGGTGATGACTATGAAGAAAGTCGTCTTCTGGGTTTTGGCGCCATGTATTCTTCGTTTTGGCTGACGTTTCGGAGGAATGTATCGCCTCCATCTACAGAGCAGGTGAATGGCTTGTGAATGCAGAGAGCAGTAGCTCTCTGCCAAAACGAAGAATACACGGCGCCAAAACCCAGAAGACGACTTTCTTCAAGTAACAAATGTGGTTGCATCCATTGGTGACACTTCCCTTCAAGGTAAAGATAGAGGCCCTGAAAAGCGCTGTGTTTATAAATGCTGGCCTTTGTAGATCTCATACTTCCAGATGCACCAGTCAGAACTAAATAACTCCTGGAGGAGCAAAGTTTGTCTGAGAAGCTTACAGCTGCTCAGCTCTGCAAGAAATTTATCATCAGTGGAAACCAAAGGTTCATTACTGTGTTTACAAGATCCCCTAACCAGCAGGCAGATATCCATGTCTGAAGTGGGATTCGAACCCACGATCACAAGTGTTGGAGTGGGCGAAGATATTTCATCCCTTAGACTGCTTGGCCACTGTATCAGTGTTTGAAAATATTAGTGTCTGGGTGATGCTCTTTCACTCAGAAAATCACCAGGGACCACCCTGGCTTGACTACAGTCTGTTTATAATACTTAGAATTTTCAAACGTAATGTTATTTCATAATAGATAATTAACCTTTAAGTGCCGAAATGCCCCATTTGGGCCAGTCGGGCATTTAAACTCCGCTAGTAGAAGCGAATGCACAGTCCTAAATATTTATTTTTAAATGTAGTAATTACCAGACAAATTGAGTAAAGCCCTAATAGAGGAATTAAAATGATACCTAAGTGAACAACAGCAAAAAAGAATATACATGTGAGTTATGCCCAAACTCATCCACGAGCCAGTACTTTTATTGCAGATTCTGCAGATTAATGTGCTAAAAATATATAGTAAAATTCGATATACATACCATTTTTGTTGTTATTTGCTTTATGTATATATAGGCTGAATTTAAACTACAGTATTTGATTTCACTATGAACACACAGAAAACAGATCGCACTCTGTACCTCAGCCACGATGCAACTGTCTGTTCATGACCCTAAAAAGGGCAATACTCTCTTGCAGCTATATCGGAAGGTCTTAGCACAGAAGAAGGGACCCCTTTAGCTTTCTCTTGAATAGCCATTCTTTCATTCTTCTGTCCTTTAGTCAAAAGATTTGAAAATCCGAAGGGTGTAAGCAGTGCTAGCAGAAGACCAAATGATTTTATTGGTTCCATCTGTTTTATGACACCAGGGACTGCTAAAATTTGTTCACTGTTACAAACAGAAATGAATTTATAATGCAGAATAACTCTGTGAAGAACTTGGAAACCAATTTTTCAGTACGCATCAAAATTAAAAGAAAAAATTGAAAATAGAGTATAACTTTTTGTATAAAATTTTTCAAATCTTCTGTTGTAATATGCGACACTGTGTTCTTTGCTGATACAAACAAAGGTAATTCCATCCATTTGTCATAATAATTGTGTCAGAGACAGCATTTTTAAACACAATGCTTAAAATTGTTTAAGTGCACTAACAGGATCGGACATTTAAACACAGAATAGCAACGTGCATTTAAACGCGCACCAGCAGTGGGCATTTAAATAAACTCTGGCCAGCTTAAGCTTACCACCTTTTCAAAAGCCCGGCATTTAAAGGTTAAATCAGTTGAGGAAAGTATTTTGTTACAATGCAGGCAAATCCAGCCAACCAGAATGCAGTGTCACCAATCAAAGAATGGATATATTAAAGAGTTTCCTGCTCAAAAATATGTGTAGAATCAGTGATTCATGCTTTACTGCAGAGAAAAAATCAGTAATACTTGTTCAGATCTGAAGACCAAGAATTAACCTCTAGAATTATTATCACATAGAAACCTGAGAGCTAAACAGGTGTAAATGAATACAGTATTTCTATACAGAAATGTCAGTCTTTTGAAATGTAATATTTCACTGAATGCTGGAAATTGTTCTTGTGAATGACAGAATGTTTTGCCCTTACTCCGCCAATAAAATAAACTGTATCTTCCTTCCTACACAGCTCCTATTCACTTGATGTGCAAGTCTGAATAATCTTGCTTTATTTTTTTTCATAGCCACATGATACTTGGGATACAAGTCATGATAAACTATCAGTACATAATTAAAAATTGTCTAACAGATGGCAGACTATAGTTACTGCACACTCACTCATCACTCTATGAGACCATGGTTTCACCCCCAGAACTCTTTGTTGAATGAACCCACCCTGTCAGACTTCTAGTATACTATTGTCTGTCTGACATTAAGAGTAGCTTGTGTAGCAGTAGTGTTCCAACATACAGCTGCATAGTGTATACGTACATCCTGGTGTGGAAAAACAGAAATGGGAACTATAACTTTGTACAGGTGAGTGCCATTAGAAGTAAAAACCCATAAGATTAACACTGTATGTTCTTAAAGCATGATGTACCATGGTGTAATATTAGATTAACTGTGTTTGGTACAAATATAAGCTGTATGTGACATCAGATTCCCTGCTTGCATTTTCACAATTTACTTGCAGTAGGTATTGAAATATGAAGTAGAATCAGTTTTAGAAGTTCATTGTTAAAATGGGCTAAAAATGAGGTACCAATCTATAGCAAGGAACTGTAATGTCATGTTAATGGCCAGTGCTGAGAGAACTGAGAACTTCCTGTTGACAAGTAAAATTCCTTGAGAACCGTTTGTGTTGAAGAATTAATTACATATTGAAATAGATTGTAATGAAAGGAGTGTATATTTAGAATGAAGTGAAAACTAAACTGCATAAAATAGAAATTAATATAAAATTATGGTGGAAAGTTTCTAAACCTGTAATTAATTTTATGTAAGTTTATAGAAATGCAGGTTGTTATGTATATGTTCAAATACATATGGTATTTGAAGACATGCTGAGAAATTTGGATACATTTCTATGCAATATCAGAACATTAAATCCAACCAAATAATGCTAATGCAATACCAGATAGTGTTAATAATAAATTGTAAATGTTTTAGAAATTTTATTATTTGTGAGTTTTGTTAGATTTTATCAGAAGAATGATTTTTAATTCGAGAAAGGAATAAGACATAACTTTGTTCGAAAATATCAAAAGGAATTTTTAAGAATACTTCTGAATAAACATTGGGAGATGGCCTTTGTATCTCTCTTTCTTTTATATGCAAACAGCTACAAACATAACCATATTGTCTTTTAAATGTCACCAAAAGTAAGGAACAATTTTCATTTTCCATTTTACTGCTGAGTCTTCTTGTAGTCTTTCATTCATCACTACACTTCTAATTTTATGGCCCACTGGGGATCCTAACTGCTGTATACAACTGACATCCCATTCATATATTTTCCTAAGTTGGGGAAAAAATAATATTCGAACAGTGCATGCTTTGCAATAATGAATATTGTTTATTGCATTATAGCCATGTATTAATGATGTTTCTGTAAATACATTTGTTATCTTTTTGGCACTAAATTCTGATTTGAGTCTTAGCGTTCTGTATTGCAGGGGTTATCAAAATTATTATGTAACCAAAGGTAAAACTCTCATTTGGGTCTCTCTTATCCTGCTATCAAAGCAGAACAAAAAATAATTCAAGTTACTGTGTCCTAAGTGGGTTTCAAAACCATGATCTCATGTTTGAGGAACCCAAGTCTTTATGATATTAATATATTTATTAAGAAAAAAACACCATCGGAATTAATAGAGGAAGTCGCATGATTTGTGATGGTTATATGTTTTTTCAAAGAGAATGAGAAATTTTGGTGTCAGCAAGACCTTATTCCAATGATAATAAAGTGCCCTTATTACAGCTCTAAATTTGTATTAATGTTAATTGTTTTTTAAGTTGCATCCAAACATTTCCAGCAGCTTAACAATGTACGAATAAGGAAATTATGAAACTTTGCATAGCACAGTCAAATGTTTTATTTTAGGATTGTGTCTGTATCTTAGACTATATGGCATTGAAGAGGATGAGTGGCAAACAAATTTGGAAGGATTAGAGAGAAGTGGTCATGGCCTAATCAAAGTATTATCATAGCATTTGCCTGAGGGGACTGAAGAAAGCCATGAGAAACCCCAGTCAGTATACCTGGTGTTCCAATGAAATTTGAATACAAGCAGAGAGCATTATTGCTACATCACCCTGCTTAGTGTGAAGTTGAAATTCTTTATTCCTTGAGTTTCTGGTCAATATGTATCGTGATTTTCAACTAGTCAGTGACAAAACAGATATCTGTGGTGGGTACAAAAAGCCTAACTGATTTGTCTATTAGTCCTTGTACATTGATGGCATTGCCTTGCTACAGAACCTGCAATAAATAATCATGTAAGAGTGGTACAATATTAGGTCATCTCCTGAAGAAGTGTTCATGTAGATATATATCATTACAGAGGTGTTTTAGTACTACTGCATTGTAGATCTGCATTCTGAAGATCACTTCACTTCTCTGTCTCACTTAGAGCAGACACTTTTCCAAGGTAATTTGTTTCCTATTTTACTGGTTATGTAATGGTTATCTCTTACATTATTTTTCTATAGGAAATTTGAAAGTCTTATGTCAAAATTTACAGTGAAAACTTTCATTTGCAGAAATAAAGAAAAATTATGGTAATTTGTGTATGCAATTACCTACTGTCAGTATTGCTGAGTTG